AACCGGAAGTGAACCGAGTAGGGGTGAGTACTTATGGGACTACTGTACCAGAGCTATCAATTGCGCTCTGCACTATCTGAGATTGTCTCACTAGTTTAATTATTGACGTGATGTGAGTCACTCAATTTTCGCATCATGTTGATTTCGCGACATTTAATTTTCGCGTCACTTAAATTTCGCGATTTTTTTTGAATCGCGAAATTCGCGAAATTAACGTGTCGCGAAAATTTCATGTAATAAGGTATTATTTTCAGGTTTCCTACCATTTAAAAGTAATTTTGTATGTGGCCAAAACAACTCAAAATACCGTGACTGAGCTCCTTTAAATACTAGTTATTCAACGCTTTCGAGTGGTATACCATGGAATATCTTACAAGTCACTTGCAAGACGTTAAGTGACAGATATCTTTTGCAGCAGCTGCACCCTCATTACGGAATAAACTACCACTGAACATTTGAATAACAGACAATTTTACAACTTTTAAATCTCTTTTAAAAACATATTTATTCAAAGTGGCTTATAATATAAACTGACGTTAATCACATATTTTATGATATTGGAACAATGTTCATAACGATGATATTATAGAGACAATCTTTTAGGTTTATTTATTTTATCCTTTTGTTCTTCTAATTTATTTTATCACTGATTGTGATGCATTTTACTTTATTTCGATGTAAATATGATTAGAATTAGGATTATGATTTTCATTTTAATTTTTCGTTTGTGAATAATTTTATCAATAATTTTGTAAAGCGCATGTGATCATATCCACATGTTATTATGCGCTATAAAAGTGCCATCAGTAGTATTAGTAGTAGTAGGTATTTTCTCCGTGTACACAAGAGCCCTTAAGGGAGTGTGTTTACCAAGTAAATGCAAGTGGCAAGTGGGGTATTGCATAGTCTCCTTCGCAGCCGTTTTTTGGATGTCACGCAACGCTCGTTGGGAGCGTTGCATGACATTCCAAAACACGGCTGCGAAGGAGACTAGGTATTGTATGGTAGAAAGTGTTGCATAACCATTTTATACCATGCCATAGAAAAAACAATGGCCAACAAAATCAATGGAACATACCCGCGGCGCAAGATGGGAAGGTTGGATGTAATACCGTCGAATATACAACGGTTCTCCTTTATTCTCATTGACTGAGGTTTCTATGGCATAGTATAAATGTTCTTATGTATTATCACCATTTGTCGCAGTCCGTTTGTGTTTAGTCAGTAATGTTATAACATGTACATCCTGCTAAGTAATAAAGGGAAAAATTGTAAGTAAAAGAATGTACTTCAAGCCCATCACCCGGGTCCATCACTGATGACGTACATACGTACCTGTGTGGCATATGAAGGGTGGGTCCTGAACCACTTGCCCCAGGCCCAACTTTTTTCCTCTGCTCCCAGCCCGTAGTGAGCTTATAAAGTCGAGATGGGTCACGTGAAACGTTAACTTCAACCTAAGACAAAAGGTAAAGGTTGAACCATATTAGCTCACAAGCCTTGTTCAACGTATTGGAAAATAAAAAAAGTGCTAGTTGATATAGTTCCAAAGTAATTCTCATAAGCGATGGACGGACCCACAAGATTCTTATGGGGGTGGTTTTGTGGTTTCACTTAAGGGCCTCACGGTTTCACATGTCGTCTTTGACGAGACTACCAGTGGTTGTCCCTTGTTTCACAACGAGGTATACTGTTAACACAAGAAGAAGAACTCGGTACGAATGTTACCAAAGAGCGTTACTTAACCTACGGAGACGCGTTATGGGCTCGTCACGCAATCTTACCCCTAGAGAATGTCATGTCTGGGTAGGAGGCTACAAAGCAACGAGGTCAAGTTTTGAATTTAGATTCTACAGGTATTCTATGATGACTTCACTGACACAGCGTCTGCATAGTCCAGGAAAAGGCTTCCTGCTCAAGCGTAAGACATGGAGAAGTCTTTCGCCTTTTATTTATTTATTTATTCATTTATTTATTTTAGCATATCTTAAAATTTTATCTCGTTTACATATAGATATAAATTTTTTGATATCTTTTAACCTTTTTACAAATGTAAATTTAGTTAGCATCGGGCAGGTGAAGAGCCACCCTGTGTATATACTGCCCGAAATGCCATTATTATTATTATTATTATTATTATTATTATTATTATTATTATTATTATTATTATTATTATTATTATTATTATTATTATTATTATTATTATTATTATTTCGCCATCTCCACACCCCACCACTTGCCCTTTTAACCCTTTAGTGGAAAACCTTCCCGTAGACTATGCTAACCATAACGATAACTCACCTGTCTTTTCAGTTTCTGAAGTCGTTTTTCTTTCTCCATTTTCTCTACCTCCTTCACTTTCTTCTTGGCTTGTTTTTCATCCAACATCTTTTGACTCTAAAACAAGTCCAAGCATACATGAAACAAAATAATAACCAACTACAAGGGAGTCACAGGCTGTAGTCTCCCGTGAAAGATTCAAGATAACTAAAACGTTTTTAACTTTGAGACAAAATTCTCACTTCTCCCAACAACATCAACACACTGTGAAGCATGTACGTGATGAGAATAGAGAACATGACAAACCCAGAGATATTATCTTAATGTACCACAAATTCTAAGAACCAACAGTAAACGAAAAGCATTGAAATCAGTAAGAACCGTTTAAAACTATTCCAACCTTGGGACTTAAAAGATTTAACACTTGTCCTCTTGGCGAAAGTACAATAACTTCGGATTAAGGAATCACGTTTGACCATTTAGTGCGCTTTAGTGTCTCTATCTACCCTAGTGTGTAAATATAAGCCACTGATAATTCATTAGTCCAGTCCCTTCTATGTTCCCTGGGCTGTTTTTGTACGGGATATCCTCAACTCACTGAGTACCATTTTTTTCACTGAACTGCAGCAGTGACGGGAAAGATCATGCAGGAAGTAGGCGTCTAAATTCAACTTACTCTTTCTTGTATTTTTGCAGCTTCTTCTGCTGTTATTTTTTTGGCCAATTTTTCTTGTTCCTGTCTAGCTTGCCTTGCTGCATTTAAAATTGCCTGTTCTTCCGATCTCTGTCTGGCATACTCCTCCACTTGAGCTTTTATCTCCAACTAGAAAACAACACAAACAACATTTACAATATATTAAACTCTTGTTGAGCTCATTCAACTGTACTGTACCAATTCAACTGTACTGTACAGTGAGGTCCGTTAGTACCTTTCTATTTGAGAAATAGAAAACATGCACCGTGTTTCTATCATATTGTAGTATAAATCTATTAGCGTTCTATCACGAATGGCGTCCTCTGAATGACTACGCTACTCGCTATCTATTCTGTCAACTTCGTTCCCAGGGTCTTTTCCCTGGCTTGGGGGTGGGGCGGGAAAAGGGCCTTTTTTTATTCTGTTGTACATAGTAGCCTAAGAGTGTGCGCTTGTTAACAAACTTGGCGACTGCTTCTTTGCGTTTTCGAAGTGTCTCTGAAGTGGAATTAGAAAAAGTTTTGAACAACTGGATTTATACTAAAACAAGATTATTACCTCTAGATTTCTATGTGTGATAGTTGACACGGGCTGCGCCCTCGTCAACTATCGCACGACAGAAATCGTTAAATAGAAACGCGATTTTAAACCAATCAGCGCGTGTATTTTCATTGGGCTATTTTCTAAACAAAGACAGCAGCTTGCCTCTTGCCCTCATGGTATAGCGCCACACAGCTGCAAAATGTAACAAAACTGAGTAATCTAACACAGTTTGTTCTCAGTTAAGACGTAAAGCTCAAACTTCCTCATCCCTTTCTCCCACAGGTAACACGAAACATGTTTGGATGAGTGAGATAACTGCAAGTCAAGGGCAATTTATAAGCACTGTTTATAGTTTTTTCAAGGACTGGCTTACCCGTTTCTTTTCTTCTCTTTCTTTTTCCTTTGCTTTATTCAATCCTTGCCTGAGGCGCGCTTCTTCTGCCTTTGCCTTCTCTAATTCTCTCTGAACCTAGAAAATAAATTTAAAGAAGAAACAGTAAAAAGTAGTCTGGAAAAGGATGAGGCTGGCAAAGAAAAGCAGTTTGAGCAGTTTCTCGCAATATTTTTGCACGTTTCTTGTGGTTTTGCACACTTCTCACAAAGCCACTAAAATTAAAAGCAAAACAACAAATTATGGTGATAAATATAATACAGACCCGTTGACTGTAAGTTACCTTCCATTCATTGAGATGTTTGAGCCTTTCTTCTCTCTCTTTTTCTATTTGTTCTTCTCTTTTCCTCTTCATTCTTTCCTCCTCCTCTAAATCATCACCATCATCATTTAACATCTCGTTTTTCTTTGCCTGTTGAAAGAAAAAGAGAAAGCAACTATAAAAAATGCCAACAAAATGAATTTGGCCGAAAAATCACCAAACAGTAAATATGTTCTTTTCCTTCTGATGAAATAACTAGCTGAGTGTTTATACAGCAGTAAAAAAGCGTGACTTAAGTAAAGAAAAAAACAATACAGTCAGTTTGGTCATTTCTGTCCTGGCAGCGACTTTCTCTCCAGAGTTGTAAGACATTTTTTTGTTAGACCTGATGTTTTCTGTTAGACCTGGTGTTTAAATAAAGTTACATAAGGTTACTCCTTCTGTATGTGATGATGATCGAGTTATAGTAGTTAATAATTTCCAACGTCATCACCAACAGAAACAGCACGGAACATAGGCACGCAATATGTGCAGAAGGTGTAATGCGTACGCCGAAGCTATGTAGCTGGGTCTCGTGCTTTTCATGCATTGCAAGCCCAAGCTACAAGTTTACTTGTTAGACTCCTTTCTGAGCAATAGCCCTTTGCCTCGTTTGATACAAAACTTGAGTTAATAGTTCATTTAAAAACAACTCTACCTCTTTGTCGTCCTTCCATTCCTGGATAGCTTTCTTTTTACTGTCTTTCAGTATCAAGTACTCACTGTACCACTCATCGTGTTGTCGCACATCATCAACAGTTCTTCCAGGAATTCCTGATCCTGCTGCTCGCATGAACACTTCATGGTTCTATGGTTTCAAATTACGATATATAGCAAAATCATAAAATACTGAGAGCATTTGACCAAAACAATTCTTACGCATGGAAAATGAGATGTGTAATGACACAACCGATGTTAACTCAGACATGCATTGGAGCACAGCCCTGAAAAACCAGACGTAATGTGAACTATGACCATTTTGAAGAGTGTGTTCTTTAGTTTCTTTGGAGCATTCCTGTTTTCTAACCTTCTGGAGGCAGAGTATTCTTTGCCCAAGGTGATGGTTTAACTTGAGATTGTTTTGGAGACAAGGAGCCTCTCAGGGATGCGGTGATTTTTTTTTAACATAACACCTGAAAATAGCCCTAGAGGGTTGGGGTGTGGTTATGGTGTGAATGATGCTCATGCAATCAATTCTTGGATTTGTTGGAAGTTGTTTTTATGGGGTATTAGTTAACACCATAAGGAAAAGAACTTTTTTTTCTGTACAGCTATGGTGGTCAAGTTTTCAACAGCCTTCCAATGTAGCAGATTGCTCATGAACTTTACTAGATGGATTGGTTTTTCATGTCGGCAGGAGACAGGCAAGATTTCAAACTAAATACTAAGGGTGCCAGAAAAGTTTGAACTAAAACTCTTGGAAAGGCAGTTTCCAGTATTCCAGAGACTGCAGAAATAATTTCTAGCAGAGCTCTGAGTTCAATTTAATGATCAGTAAAAAGGTAAATACTGTAATTAAATTTACCTATAAAGCACATTTTCACAAAACGCCTTCTAAAAAAATTTTTTTTTTCAAATTAGGGAAGGGCAGAGGGTGTGCATTGTGATGTGTCTAGTGGCCATATTTTAAAGTATTATTCAGAGTTATTCAGGCAAAGCACATAG